AGAGAAAAACAGCAAAGGTTCCACATGCGTTTTACCACAAGCACACCATGGAAAATTATCTACTTATCACCCACTTGAATGTCAATATGAATTTGTTGCATTGTTAATCATTACAGGAATAATTGGTTGTGTGTTAATTTTATCTTATGCAACTGAGTGCAACAATTGTTACATTGCACTTTTCAATAGAAAACGTTCAATCACAATTGAACAATGAGAGACAACAGAGACCATAAATCCATCTTTGCTTCCTATTTTGTTCACTATCTCTCTTCATCTCTCTCTCTCTGATTCGCTCGTTTTTATTGCTTTTATTATTTTGTGTCTCTTAACATCAGTCTTCGCACTTTGTCTGTGTAAATAACTGAATGGCAATTGAATATTTTCTTTTTGGTCAAACAATGTTTGCGGGTGCTCAAAAAAGACCAAAACTAAAATGTATATTGCTTGAAAATGATTCGATCAATGTCGATGTTATACACTCCAAATATGTATCTGTTGATGCACTCAAGCATCCTTTTTGTTATCGAGTACTTATTTGTGTCTTTTTGTGTGACACCAATGTAAACTAGGTCTTTCAATCACTGCGTCCATTTGAATTTTCAATAAAAGTGAGCATAGAAGTGAATCGATTCCCTTTTGTTTGAACGTAGCAAAGCAAAGAAATCGACAAAAGAGTCAAACAATTTTCATGTAGTACATCGTCTATTTATTTTGAATGGATAGAAAATCTTGATACTTGAAGTTAGTGCATCTCTTTGTATATTTATTACATAAAAAAGGACCTCTTACTGTCACTTTGTTTCTATGGTACCATATCTTCTTCGTTTTCTTCTTCCATTTCGAATTGCTGGATATTTCCCAGAATTACCTCGAGCCCAGACAACTTGTCTTCTTTCCGACAAAATTTAACAACATTTAATGTTAGTTTCAAATTAATTTCAAGTAAAATCCGATTGCAATGTGATCTAGTTAAATTAATGCGCTTATCAAAAACTTATGGTGTAGGTTGCAGCTTCGCGATAATCACGTGCTTATAGTCAAATAACTGTGTGAATGTGAACGCCTTTATGATAATTAATTAACGTTATCGGTATGAAGTGAAGCATCATTCATTCATTCATAATCTCTCTGTTGTTCACATATGATGAAAGTGTGTGTTAAATTCCGAGAAGTGCCACAAATCTTTTGCTCCAGGTGAACGCGCAAATCGTTGCTTTCATTGACTTTTTTTATTCATCGTTTTTGAAAATGTAGCGTGCTCAAAACTCAAGATGCGCATCTAAAGTGAGCCAATTGAATGGGCTTCCATTCGGCTCGGGCCTCTTAAGTGATGAAATTTAATTCGATTGAAGTCGCAACAGTACAATGAAAACCAATAAATATGATACAAACAGACGTTAAGTGCATCAATATATAGTAAACAAAAGATTCTCGAAAAGAATGGTAAAAGATGTAAGTCACTGAATTCAGCGTTCAATACGCTCACCAATTCATTCGATTTTGCGCACCGTTCCGAATTTTTATGAATGAATTTTTTTTGTAATAGAGAGAGGGAGAGAGAGAGAGAGAGAGAAAGAGGAAACGGCACAGAAAATCGATTTTGATTGTTAAGCGGAGGTGTCACTGAATGCACTATGCATGGTGTGGTTATTTATCGAAACATAAACTCAATTCCATTGATGCGCCGCATTTTTTCCAACGAAAAACGTATCTGTGTTGCACAAGCAACACCAAAAGTGTCATCATTTTAATGCCAATTTCCAACAAATCATTCGATCGGTCAACATTATTTCGGCAAAATCGACTATTTCTTATTCGACTCTCCATTCATGAATTCATTCTATTCTAAACTACTTTTTTTATATTTTGAAGCGCATTCATTCATCGATACGATTTCTATTCAACTTTTTTTTTTAAAATTTTTTATCAAAAAAAAAAAAAAAAAAAATGGTGCAGGTATGAAAATTGCAAATCGAATAGCAAATATGGTGTTACTGCAAAAAAAAAACTATCGACCGATGGAACAATTGCACTCGAATAAAATGAATGCCGCTGCTATTGTTACTGTTGTTATTCGTTCTTTTATATCCATTTCTTCAATAACAATGGATTACCTCTGCAAATTAATCGAATCGAACAAAACATACATACATTGTTAATCGATGTATTTGCCATTGAATTACCGTGAAATTTCTTCAATGCACATCATCATCGTGCATCGAAATGAAAAACTTGAACAAAACGTAAAATGCGAAAGACGTATAGAATCGATCGCATTTTTTTGCCATTGCTGATGCCTTTCATTCTTGCACTTTTTTCCTTTTTTTCTTCTTTTCGTCGACGTTTTCTTCTTCTTTTCGTTTTCGTTGCATCGCTTCCAAGTGCATTGATGTTGCCATACAGTCTGCCGATGTCGTGTGCATTTTGCTTCGTTTCTCACTTTTGCAATGCTCATTTTTCTCTTGACATATCCAACGAGACCAACAACACTTCTCAATGTCGACATGGGTTTAAGTATGTTTTTCCATTTAAGATTCCCTATTTTGTTACTGTTTGGATTTCATTCTTCGACGAAGCTATCGGTTGACGTCGTTGCTTCATCATCGTCGTCCTTCGAAATGCTAAATTTTCTATTTGCCATTGTTTGTGCGATGTGTTGTCGTTGTTGACAAATGTGATATGTTCACAAGGTTGACGTTGAAATGGATACAAATAAGGAATCGTGTGCTGTGTGTTATTGCTCAAACTGACTTCGACGCCGTATAATTATGTGACATTTTTGGAAATTTGACATTAAGTTGATTTGAAAAAGGGTGCATTCATCATCCTGAATGCAACGAAACGAAATCACATTTAACCAAATGTAGAAACGTTTTAATTAAACCATAATATAATTTTCGATGGCATTTATGTGTGTTGGACTGTGAAGAAAACTCTTTCAAATGTGGTTCATATACAAAACAAACGAAACGGGTACACGAGAGAGATGCGGTTTGGTGACAAATATCGGTCACAAGAGGCTTAAAAAAAATTTGTGGCCAATTGAAAACACTTCATCATTGGCGTTGGAAATTGAAACTACTTCAATTTCCATTTGATGGAAAGCAAATGAGTTTCGATTTTATTTTTCGGTTTTTTTTTTATTTTGTTTTCACTACAAATCCGCTTAAAGTGTTTTCAAGAGTATTTAAATTTACTCAATTGTTACGGCGAATGCCGGAAAACGATGATAAGTAGACTTAAATAAAAAGTGATTTCGAGAGGCTGTTAAAAGAGTCGCTGGTAATACTTCCTCTTCTAAAGTCGAATTCGATCAAAATTTAATAAAGACCATTAAATTGTTTTCATTACCTCGGGCACGACGAAAAATAATATTTACCACGAATAATCAACAATTTCAAATAAAGTTTGTTCCCTTTCTTTGCTTAAGGATTTTTTGATATAAAATAAACGAACTTCCTCTTTCGTTGGATGAGTTGTATTTTTTTATCTGTTGTCGAAAATTGGTTGCATCTCCAATGGAAGGGGAACGTTTTTTTTACACATATATTAATGAATTTAGTAAATAAAGTTGATTTTAAATGAGTTATGGTTTACTGTGCCCATGAGCAATAATCAACTTCCTCCATTGCCAATTCAAACAAAAAAAATTGCCTTCAACGAATATGAACACGATGAGAAAAATCAGGCCCATCGTTATTTTAAATAAAATTAAAATAAAAACTAATATAAGATAATGAAATGTTGCACAAATTCAATGATGTGGTTTCATTGCTGAATTTACAGTTCATAAAATAACGATCTGAATGTCATCATTCGAAAATGTGTAAGTGTGTTTTTGTGATTTGTTAGTTTTATGAGGAGATTGGGCTGTACTGCACTGCAAAGTTTCATGCCGTATGGGCAAAATGGAAAATCAGCCATTAAATTAATTCGAGTGTGTGTGATTCACCCTTATTTTATCATGATACTTGCTGACATTTGAAATAATCCCTTGATATTTGTTCGAAGCAACAATGAATTTTATTCGAAAACATACCGCGAACAAACAACATTGGCTGATTATGATTCGTCGATCTGCCATTTCTATTGTTACCGATCTGATCTGTCCCTTTGACAGGCAACATCGTTCGTACGACATGAATGAATGAAAGAGGGAGAGAGAGAGAGAGAGGGAGAGAGAGAGAGAGAGAGGGAGAGAGGGAAAAAGAGAGAAAAAGAGCAAGATAGAAAGAGATGGCAAGTAATTTTGGTCCGATGCCAGACAAAAAGGCGACTTCAATTGTTTCATGCCGATAGATCTGAAAACACACGCTTCAAATGCAAGTTCAAAAACGAAAAGAAGAATGAAAAAAACATTTGTTACCATTTTATTTGATATTGTTAAACGGTTTATTAGTGTATTCGATACCTCTTGTAACCGATTTGAAAAGAATGAACAGAATAGATCGACACAAGAACGCACAAACAATGCATTTTCCATCGATCATTGTTTTGCCATATTAACACACTAATGCACAAACACAACTGTGTGCATTGCATTCTTTCGATTGGAATAATGGAGAGGTGTAGTTTTGGAAGCATTTATTCACCATTCATGAATGTTTAAGGGTGAACTGAATGTACACCGAAATATTTTAAACACTACCACTTTTTTCGGTTTTCCTTATATTCACATTTCGTTCGACCATTGTGCTCTTCCACTTTTTGACTATGGGCGGAGCACGCTAGTGAATCTGTTAAATGCCATTAATTATAATAAATAGTAAACATTATTTGATTTTATTATTGTTGTTTTTTGCTGTGTGTGCTCTTCATTTTTGCCAACCGAAGAGGGAGAGAGAAAGATTGAAAAAAGTTTTGAGTGCGAGGAGGCAAACTGATACATCTCTTGAAATGGTATTCGATCACTCAAAAAGGATCTCGATGGTAACAATGGGCCGAAAATCGTATATAAAGCAGTAGTCGATAGGACTTAGGCATCAGTTTCGTTTTGGAAATCGATACGTACAAAACTTCTCACCTCATTCTTGAGTGCCTTTTCAACGAAAATTATTTTTTTCGAACATTGTGAAAAATCGAACATTGTGAAATTTTTTTGTGAACTATTTGTGGTGTGCGTGTGTTATTTAAAAAAAAAATAAAACAAAATGTCGAAGTCATTTTTAATGGATTCATTGCTGAGTGAAAAATCGTCGAAGCGAAAATATGCCGAGACAGCAGCTCCAATGGGATTATCGCCGTTTATCCAGTATCCACCTTATTACGTTGGCAGCTATTTATTTTCCCTTGGAATACAACAACAACACCAGCAACAACTTCAACAACATCTTCATCATGTTTCGCCGGTCTTATACGCCAATTTAACAAAATCACCACGTCAATGTGAAATAACGCCACCACATGAACCATCCCATCTGTTGGAGTACAGCAATGCCCATCTATTGACCACTTCGTTGACACCATCGCCAAACGCAAATTCATCCATCCATTTCTCATCTGAACGGCGTGAATCGTCGCCTGTGTTTGAAGAGCAACCAAATAAAAAATTCAAGTGCACACCACCGCCGTCGCCACCAGCCTCAATTTCCGACTATGCCGATTCAAGCAAACGCATTCGTACCGCATTTACCAGCACACAACTTTTGGATTTAGAACGTGAATTTTCCATGAGTCAATATTTAACACGTTTGCGACGCATCGAAATTGCCAACAAATTGAAATTATCGGAGAAACAAGTGAAAATTTGGTTCCAAAATCGTCGTGTTAAACATAAAAAAGGCGACATTAGTCCAGGTTTATCATCGTTTGAACATCAGCATCAATCATACGCATCAGGATCACCATCGAATGATTGTCACAACATATTCTGCGCGAAGAATTAATTTAAGCAAAATGACAAAAAATTATATTGTACAAAGTAGATAAGTCAATTGAATTTTTTTTGTAAAAGAAAAAATACGTATTAAGATTTTTTATTAAAATTGGTATTGCAAAATAGATACGAGAATTAAAGTCATGAATGATTTAAAAATAGAAAAAAAAACTCTCTTTTCATTTGACTACAATTTCAGCATTGAATGGAAAATCAACGATTCATTCAGGAAACTCCAAGCATCATGTATATTCATAACTACGAATTGATTGATTGAATGTCATATGAATGTGCAACTTTTTCTTTACAACTTGAGTAGCTTGAGCATTTCATTCATAAATCGATGTTCTTAACCACTTGTATCGATTTGTGAAAAATGAATGACGAGATTAAAATGATCGCTTTTTGAATTTGGTTAAGGCCATAGATACCTGCATTTCGTCACTTGAATCGATTTAAAATCATCAAAAAAAGTGAAAAGAACCAACAAAATAAAAGCCCATTTCATTAACTTTTCTATTCATCGATGAAGAAAATGAAAAGAGATCGCAACGGGATGATCAAGAAAATCTTTTTGTCCGATCAACAGATATACTGCACATACATACATTTTGACAAAAGTCGATCTTTACTGTTCTCAGTTGCATCATTTAATGTATTGTTATTGCTCGGCATGAAGTCGATACCTTTTCTCTATACCTTTTTTTTCTTCGTCAAACTCTGTTGTTCAGTGCATCGTTTGTGTTTTCTTTTTTGCCCATTTAATTCCATTTAGTCAAATAAACATTGTTCGATCTCTTGGTGCATCAACTTGTCGTTGGTTCGCACAGTAAAACAACTCTGCATTAGGTGCAACGAAGAAAACAAAAATCCATGAATGGAATTTAACCGACAATGGCACATCACAATTCAATCGAATCAATTTTCTTGCAATGTCTTTTCTTGCGTTTTTTTCTTCTTCTCTGCTCTGTAGAGGAACACAAAAAATGTGAATTCACATTGACATGATGCGTATAACTAAAGTAAATAGCCAACAGTATGCATCTATTCTTTTAATTGTTATTGAATAGAATTATTGGAACAAAGGCCATTTAAATACTTGTCATATATACAGCCAACCATTGATACAGGTACCATATCGTGGGAACGAATATTGGATCTTTTTGTTTGTGTATGTATGTCATTTCGACAAAAAAAAAATAAAAAAAAATCGGTTAATATCAAAGAGTATGGCTTTTTAACGCTAAAGATCGATTATTTGCACTTGAATCTCTTACAATTACTCAGTGGGTGCATTGCAAAACATGGTCTAAAAAATCTATTCAAAGGAAATGAATTGAAAAAACTTGCCATCTCAGTGTGGGATTGCATCATAAGCGTTCAATCGAATCGATAATCACATCTATCTTACCTTCATTTGTTTCTTTCCAAGGAATTTCATTTATTTTTTTCGCAGCGAATATCCTTCGATAATATGATATCTCTTCTTCAAGTGAAAAATCATTAAACAAGATGGAGAGAAAGAGAGAGAGAGAGAGAGAGAGAGAGAGAGAGAAAGAGTAAAAAAGAAAAAAGTACGCATAAGACGTAAATCTTAAATCGAATTTACCCTCAAGTTCAAGAAGATTTTCGCATGAATTTTTTTGTTGTAGTTCTCACTTGAAAATGTACCTCGAATGGATTATCTTGAGACTTGCAACCTTACTAAAAGTAATAAAACGTGAAAATTGTTCACTTTCAAATTGAAAACATCTTCGTTTCTCATTGAAAACAGTTTCAATTAACATCGAACAAAAGAGACCGACGACTTATTGCAAATGCACAAATCCAATTACATGAAATGAAACTAAAAATATCCGTTTTGCACATTTTTACAGTTCCGTTTTCGTTTTCATTCATATTGATTTGACACTGACCAATTTCCGGTTGCAAAAAAATTATTAAATACCTTGGCACACTTGCGCATACAATAGACCAACGCAATTACAATACTCAAGTGATTAAAAAACTCTAAGTAAGTTGTAATCTGGCAACAGTTGTTGCTGAATGTGTGTGTATGTTTTTTTAAGTAGTAAAAACTGAACAAAAACAAATTTTAATTTTAATCTCATTCAGTTTGTTACAAAGTCGATAATCTGCTCAAAGTTTGAATGAATGAATGGAATTTGTAACAAACGCTGTTGAAAACCATTGGAAATTGTTCACTTTTCTCGGTTTGCCTGTCTGCATTTCTCTATCTCTTTTTCTCAAACATGCATACGTTGTGTGAGTCTATTGATATTTTCATTCACCTTCAGTCCTTAATCACATCGTCGGTTTCAATTCACTTTTATATGTTCGTTGTCGCTATTGTAGGGTTGAAATGCCAAGCAAAACGGCAAAAATTATTATTCTATTTTTAAACATAGATACACATAGCATTTTGATGATTTTATTTGAAAATGTTCAAGAAAAACGTCATCGAAGAATCAACAAACTGAAGCGAGTGAAAAAGAGAATCGAACCGAGATGAAAACATTTCAATAAATGTTTTCAATATTCCGTTTCATTTCATTCATTCCGTTTTGATGGTCGATGATGATTGGATCGGTAAAGATAAAAAAGACCAGATCTTTTGCATTCAATGCATAGTTAGAGAAAAGCAACCGAAATTTTCGTTCATGGAGCAAAAATCATGCGTACGCAGACAAAACAAGTACAACCACACAATGAACGAAAAAAAAAAACGAAAAGAATAGCGCGTTCACATTTGTCGAAGCAGAAGAAAACCAAGAACACAAATGAAGAGAAAAATAGAAAGATTTGAAATAAAAAAAATTGACACAATCATCATATCGTATCAAATCATATATGCTCGCACGCACGAACGCATGCACAACAAATGGTTACATTTTATGTGAATGAAATATGAATGGATTAAAGCTGGAAGAGATCGAAAGGCAACCCCATCATTTGAAATTATGATTGTATATTTTTCAATGTAATTATCCGACAGCATCAATGCCATTTATAATTAAATAGATCTTCATTCACAATTGATTGTGTTTTTAAAATAGGCAGCCCGCGTTGTATACAAAAGTAGTCCACAGTTGATGATGGCAATGTTTGCCATCAAAGTGGATCGAATGAAACCCATGCAAATGGGTTGATATACTTTCTCCTTTTTTCTCTTGCTCTCCAAATCCTCTATATGTGTGTTATCGTTTGTAGCTGTGGTATTTGTGTCATTTTGATTTTGTGCAATCCCTAGAGTAACGATCTCATGTAACGCTCGTTTGTTCAACACCTTTAGTTGGACAAAATTCAGTTTACCGAAGACCACATTCTCAAGAGAAGATAAAATGTTACAACGTGTTCATATTTGATGACGTTATTATTTAGTTATATCATCAAAATATCCTTATGCCACACAATGTCGCAAAATACAATTCATAAATATAAATCCGCACACAATCTCACATTCTCAATAAATCACCGTCGACTGAATGCAATAATAACGTGTGTGTTTTTGTGCGTGCGTGCGTCACTGGCTCTCACTTATTTATCATGTCTCTCTAGTGATAGAGCTAATTAAATAAATATGACAAATTGCAACCACAATTTTCGAAGTTTAAATGGTTGCAAACAAACAATATTTTGACGTGCACATTATCAACTGACATCCAACTCTCGTGGCTACTTTCGAATGATTGTTTGGCCGTCATTCAATCGGAAAACCATCAATGTAAATTACAGTAATAGAAGTTCAATTAATAATCAAATATTCGTTCGATTCGCAAATATCAATTATCGATTTTATTTATATGGATTTTCAACCGCAATGTTTCGAATAGCCATTGTTTTAAACGTTTCTGCGCTTAGCATTATTACATTTTATCCAGATAATAAATTTTTCAAATACCAACTTAGTAAACAAAATGTATTGGTTAAAAGCCTCACGTTTCGTTTGATTTGATGAATCCGGACTCGTAAAAAGTTGCTTCGAAAACGATAAATTATAAATGCAAGAGTGATCGATAATAATGACGAGCAAAAGGATGATTATAAAATGCAGTTGCTCGTTAATTATGTTGTTGACAAGAGTGGCTTGCAAAAAGCATGTTGAATCAACAACCATTGAACGCCTTAATTTCAAACGCCAACCCCGTCGTCTCACTCCGCCCGACGCTACAAAATAATGAATTTAACCTTTTTCCATGCATTGTTCGCGAGATAGCTAACGACAGAGAAACCAATCTAGTTCGATACTTTTGTTGTCGACGAAAAGAGGTGGATGGACCCAAATGAATGAAAATCTCAGCTAGGAGACGAAGCCGTTCAAAATCATTATATGATACGAATCCGATGAAAGAATAAATATATTCATCTTGTTGGTAGGTCACACATACATTGAACATCGGAATAGACAACAGAAAATGAATTAAGGGGTGCTGATAAAGCGAGACAACAAAAATGAAACAAATTACATGAAATCCAATAAACGAAAATGTACCATGATCCATGAACCGGCACATTAATGAAAAAATACACTTTGAAATGAGAGTGCGAAAGAGTGAAAGAGAAAGCTAAAATAGCTATAACATGGTATTTAAACCGTTGTCATTGTCACATAGGTAATTATTTTGAGCTTTTTATTAGAGTTCGCATATGGATTGAATAGATCAGCCGTGCTGTCACTCAATCAGCCATGTTTAAAATGAGTTTAATGCGATTTGTGTGAAGTGAATTAGAAAAGAATACAATACAGCGCGAACACATACACGAAAAAATGAACCTCGGGAAAAATATGTGCGTTCAGTAAACAGTAGCTGAAACTCGAATAAAAAAAAGGGATACATTGTGTGAAATGCATTGCGTCATAGCAACCGATGATGCATATAGCATATCAGTACAGTAGCTTTCGATACACTTGGATTGGAGTAAAGCGACAGGAGAAGAGAGACACACAGAGAGAGAGGGAAAAGTGTAGTTTTATTAGCGGTTTCCATTTTATATTCAATGTAGATTTTTATTCATGTTTTTATGAACGAGATCGTGTTTTTTATT